GACTTTGAGCTGTTTTCTAGAAGAATGAAAGGCAAGGAAACAAATTCCCCTCTGGAGCCTCCAGAAAGGCAGGCAGCCTTGTTGACACCCTCATCTTAGCCCAGTGAGGCCCATGTTGGGCTTCTTTTGACCGAAAGAACTGTGAGATGGACATGTGTGTTAAGTCAGTAAGTGTATGATCACTGGTTGCAACAGCAATAGAAAACAAACACACTGGTCTTCCTACCTCTGTCGTGCCATGATCCCAGCCCACTGGCAGACCTCCTGTCACTCACACCCTTGTCTTTAAAACCTTTCGGTGCTTCTCCCACCCTTATGTTGTCTTTTTTTAGTCAGCATCTCAGTACTTTGTACATAGGAAGCAATGAATAAATCTTGAATGAATAAATGACAACAACCCATTTTTCAGCACCTTGGTCCAATTCGTGATTTTGAATTTGTGGAGATAAATAAAAAATCAGTTGGTTACCTCATATTTTATATATCTCTTCCTGGGAACAGGATGAAATTAAAATATATCCTGTCTTTTATTTTTCTTCTTTTTTTAGCTTCTATTGTTTTTAAATTTTACACAATAAAATCCTATTATAATGTGGCCAGTTTGATGAATGAAAACAAAAACCTACAATGAAGCCACTCAGAGAGGACCACTGCTATTATTTTGATATGTAACTTTGTAGTTATTTATGTATCTACATTATTTTTTAAAAAGGATGAAATAATTGAAGGGGATAGAGGCCCCAAATCTTAGTCATATAAATTAAGTCATGTGGATGAAAGTATAGCATAGGGACTATGGTCAGTTGCTCTGTAACATCTTTCTATGTTGACAGATAAGTACTACACTAATTGGGCTGAGCATTTAATAATGTAGATAACTGTCAGATCAACTTTGTTGTGTAATTGAAACCAATATAACATTGTATATCAACTATACTTAAATGGGCCCACAGTCAGCAATAAAAATAAATTAAAAATAAATACATATAAAGGATACTTTACATATTTTGAAACTTTTGAAATATAGTGTGACCATTTCTCTATAGCCCTTTTAATGACCACACAGGATTCCTTTGTATGGCTGTCCTAAAATTTATTTAACACCTTTCTCATGTTATTGAACTTTTATGTTGTTTCCAACAATTTTTTCTCTGTTATGAATAGCACTGTAGTTAATACCTCTTCTGTTAGTATCTTTGTGCATGTCTATGATTATTTCATTACAACAAATTCTTTAAGTGGCATAGCTGGATGAGAGACCCTGAAATCTTGGTGGTTCTTGATATGTATCACAAAACTGCCCTTCAGGAAAATTGCCCCAAGTTGCTCTCCCGTCAGCAGTGTCCTCTCATCAAGCTGACCTTCATGCTTTTGCCATCTTGTGAGTATACGGGAGGACTAGAGATCATGACATTGAAGGTGACAAGAGGATTCCTAATTTTACATCTGAAGTGGGCACTGATTTAACCAGTTGAACACAGAATGGGCACCACAGTCAGCAAGCAGCACCCCCAGCTTCTTTGTAACTAAGACATCCTCTGATTGTCCCTTCAGAGGACTGGGGCCAATACTACTCAGAAAAGCCTGTGGGTTGGCCTCCCCCTTCCCACCACATCAAATTCCAGAAACTAAGGGTGGAATCATGGTTCCCACCTGTTCTTATAGGCTTCTGATCTCTGGCAGGAGTCTTTGAAAGGAACTTGGGATAGGGGCACACAGACTGACCCTCTTGTCTCTTTGATCTCCCCGACCCCATCTTTATCACGGACCTTATTTATTCATGAAGCTGAGCTGCTCAGGACTCATGTATGTGCATGATGCACACTGTGTAGTACAGAAGGCTCCTCCTGTGATGGGGTGTGTGTCCCATGAGGTCTGCTGTGTGGCCAGCCTGACATCTCTGCTCATTCATCATGAACAGCAAAATCCAACTGCCAGACTCCCAAGTCTAGGGCAGTTTTGACCCAGTTGGTAGTTAGCCTTGGCTGTGCCTGCTATTGGAAACACTGATCTGGCTTGCACAGAAGCATTAATAAAATGTCAGCTCTTTTAGTTACATTCTCTATTTTGGTGGTGGAATAGTTTTTACCCTTGGAATTTGGGAAAGCTAGGCTAGTTGCCATGGCAACACAAAAGCTTTCAGGCACTTGTTTGTTATATTCCTTTGTCAGTTTATAGAGTGGTCTGTGGAGCCTCTTGAAAGAAGATGTGCTGCCCAGGTTTGACAGTTAAATCACCATGCTGACTGTCAGAGACGAGGTGAAGGGACACCCCACGGAGCTCCTTTCTCATTGCCTGCTGTCACAAAGATTTGGGCTCTGGAAAGAAGGCGCCTGAATCTGGAGCAAGAGCTATTACCTCGTGGCTCTAAAATTACAAAAGAAAATTATTGAAAATTGGAACCACCAAACCTGTCTTTTATAGATGGTTTTCCCACCCCTCCACCCCTCCTCTTAGGCATGGGAACATAGAGTGTGGTATTTTTTTCTTGAAAGCCTAAAGGCACAAGAGCCATTTTTGTCAATCTGTGGACTCTGAAACAAAAGAGGTGCTGGGAAAACAAAACAAAGGTGGCCTTTTCAGGGACAACTTAGCTTTCTTGCAGTGCTCTGAGGAGAGTGTGCCCTCACGCTGGGGGCCTTCCCCCGCTGACGCTGCTGGTGTGTGCAGAGACCACAGTGGCTCAGACTGGGGGCCTTGTGCTCCTCTAATACAGGTATGCATATATGTTCATATATGTGTGTGCATATATATAATGAACATATATAAGCACACATTCATGTATGTGCACTGCTATCATTTTTGTAGAAATGAGACTTTGCTGCATATACATTTCCTGCATAAATTTGTCATTCAACCATGTATCATGAAATATTTCCCTGCCTATAACTTCAGTGATTATATAACCTTTTTTTTAATCATTTAGATATGTTATGGCTTTATTCAGCCCTTCCTTCTACGTTTGACATGTAGGTGATTTCCGATTTCTTATTTCTTTAGCAGTTCTGGGCTTACATTCTCATATACCTATAGGTAAATGGCTTAAAAAAGTGCCCAGTAAATCTGCAAGTACCCATTAAATGTTAGTCATCTCAATTTTCTTTTCTTTTTTTTATTGGTGAATCAACCTGAGAAAAACTCTTTCATGATTGAAAACATAGAGAGTTTTATGAATGTTTAAATCTGAAAGCTGCCATGTTAGCCCCAGGATTGAGGCATGATTATGCAAAGGAAGCTCCAGGAAGACCTGAAATGTGGGGTTACATTGGTGGGTAGAATGTGCTGCCGGGTGCATTAAGTTGGATCACACTCAATGCTAAGGAAATGACCAAATTCTTTTGCTTCATTGAAACTTTTTTGTGATGACCTTTCAGCATGTGATGCAGCATAGGGGACAGAGACTGGGCTGGGATTGAGGCAAACTTGTTTTTCCCATTTGGCCTAAGTAGCTTGTGAAATCTAGTGCAAGTCTTCGGTTTCCTTACCTGTAAAGTGATAGCATTCTTCTAGTTGACCTGTGAGGTTCCTTTTCAGATCTAAAACTCAGTGGTTTGAAGATGACTCTGCTCTGTTTAATTCATTTGGACTGTAGAGAGAACAGCACAGAGTTTTAATATACCTCCCAGAGTAACTTTGTGGCCTGGGAAAATTACTGCAATTTTATTGTAAAGAAATCAGTACTGTCTGATGAAAGAATATTTTTGCTTACCCACTGCCCAGTCCTTCTTTCCTCCTATCTTTGCCTGGAAGCGTCACCACTTCCCATTGCCAGGCAATCTGGATGGTCCTGCCTGTCAGGTGGCCCTGCCAAGCTAAGAGGGCTACATGTTTCTTCCCCAGAGACTTGGGGCCCTATAATCATTGAAGCTGATTGGTATTGATAGTGCCTCCCATTCATTCCTCCTACCCAGATGCCCAAACTGCCCTCATTCTAGTTGTTTTCTGGCCTTACTCGTTCCTTTCCTGTCTAATCTGTGGACTTTGCCTATGTTTTTCACCATATTCTGGTTTGACTGTTTAGCTGGAGTTGGAGTCTATTGCGTGCTATAGAAACCCTTTCCCTTCATTGCTGGAGCTGACCTAGGCCTGGTTCTGCAGCTGATTAGGGCTTTGGGACCATAAAGCAGGTCATTCCATCTCTCTAACATGTATGTCATGATCTATCTCAGCAAAGGTAATAAAACCAATTTAGTCAGGTCATTGAGGGGGATGGAACTGGCCCCATGACATTGTATGCGCAGGGTTGGCACACACTGAGAGCATTATGAATATCAGTTTCTCTTCAGTATGGCATTTCACTGGGAAAGTCGTTGGCCTGTGAATTTAGGGCCTTCATCTGAATGCATCACATGTAGGCCCTAAGTCAAGACTTAGAAGGATGTCTCTGATAACAACTGTACTTAATTTGTTCTTCATTTTTCCTTGCATTGTGGCAGGCACATAATTGGTGCTTTTGTAAATTCAGCCTCTTTTGAATGACTTTTGAAAACCATTAGACAAAGGCATAGGAAAAATCATGTTATATAGGTTCATAGTATTACACTTTTCATAATCATCAGTGTTTTCATCAACTGAGCAAAGGGCACACATATTCAGGCCCCTTGGCCAGGGCTTGGAAATATTCTGGCCTGGAAAGCCTTTATTTAACATACATAGCTTTAATGGTACTTGAGTTGCACCGGAACGTTTTAATTATCAGAATCTTCTTTAGAAAAAGCCCTCTGAGATTTGAGATAAGTTTACATATTATTATATGAATCACAATTTGCTTTAAGAGCTTATCTAAATCCCATCTGTTTGATTGGAAAAGGGGACTCGGAACGAATCCATCTAATTTTCAGTTTTCTTCCTTAGAGAGAATCGTGATTGGAAGTCAGAATGGGGTTACATGCTGCCTTTTTTGATGGTTTCTAGGGGAAGTTTTAGGGTTTCCATAGCAATGCATACGGATCATCATTTTCTGCCATGATTTCCCAGCAAAGAGAAGAGCCTTGGCAGCCATGGCTCAGTGCAAGTGGAGAAGCTGGGAGTGGATCGGTGTCAGTTTGCTCTGGCCATTGGGGATGAGCAGAGCTTTGCACTGTTGGCTGAAGGTGATGGCCTCCCAGCTCCTCAAGGCAGGTGACTTGTTTACTGAACATCCAGTGGCAGCGTCAGAAACACGAGGCACTGTGATGAGGCGGGAGGCAGGTAGGCAGCGTGCCATGTTGCCCCTGAGATTCATTAGAAAGTTTACGTTTGAGGAAACATTGATGAGGCTGTACCTTCTCCATATTCTCCCTCTCATTTTTTCTCTTTTTTCCACACTTTTCCCTTGGCCATCCCCTCTGCCTCCTGCCCCTTCTGCTCCCCTTCTCAGTACTGTGTCAACTCGCACAGCTGCGACCCCAGCTGTCCTGAAGGCAGAGGAGGATGTTAGGGTGCTGGTCAAGCCCCCCAGAGAGTGGGGTTATGTGTCCAGGTGCTGTCCCTGTCATCATCTCTGGCATCTTTTCATCAGTCTCAGGCTGCTGGGCCTGGCATGTTCCCTTCCTGTAACAATGCAGCTTGTTTTCAGGTTTTCTAAAAATAACACCTTTTTACCTCATGTCACAAGGTGTACCTGCACATCCTTGTTTTGTTAAATATGAACAAATTGTTCCCACTGGTGAAAGCCTCCTCGGCCGCTGTCCAGCCTAAATGTGGATGTGTCTTGCAGACAACAAAGCAGCAGAAATGATTGTTCCAGGAGCAATGTTATCACCCACCTAGGTGGTAGTCAGGCGGGGACTTTCCAGGGGACAGTGATGTCTCTGTGATTCCATTTGCAAGAGCTTCAAAGTTTACATTTGCTTTAAATTAATATTGCTTTGAAATTGTATGTTCTGATTTTCAAAGTTGGTTATCAATCCTAATTGCCAGAGCAAGCACAGTGTTAATAGCAATATACCTAGCAGGTTGTAATTTTTCTCTCTGCTTATTTAACAGAGTTGGGTGATTTAGTAAGCTCTAGAAAAGCCAAGGTGATCCTTTACTTCAGGAGGAGACTAGCTTCCCTACCTTGCCAATCTTGAAGGCACTGCCTTTGAAAGTAAGAGATGTAAGAGCTGTAAGACTTACTCAGCTTTTAGAATTTATTTAGCAGTTGTCAGTTCCTACCTGTGCTCTGCATCACCTCCTTTTTTTGGTTAAAATCACTGAAGCATTTTGCTGACCTTGGGACCTGTGAAGGTAAATTGCCTTGGCATACGGCTATTTTAGATGGGCAGGAAGCCCTCCCTCTCCTTTCCATGCAGACCTGTGGAGTATCGGAACAGTTTCCAATAAGAGTAGATTGCTATTGTTGTTTTAATGGCAGAAAGGGAAGTTCGTAGTAGGTACTGGACTTCCCAGATATGATGTGACTTTTGGGTGTGTTGGTCAGAGATCTGGAGGGAAGAGGAAGATTTGCCCCTGAGATTCATTAGAAAGTTTACGTTTGAGGAAACATTGATGAGGCTGTACCTTCTCCATATTCTCCCTCTCATTTTTTCTCTTTTTTCCACACTTTTCCCTTGGCCATCCCCTCTGCCTCCTGCCCCTTCTGCTCCCCTTCTCAGTACTGTGTCAACTCGCACAGCTGCGACCCCAGCTGTCCTGAAGGCAGAGGAGGATGTTAGGGTGCTGGTCAAGCCCCCCAGAGAGTGGGGTTATGTGTCCAGGTGCTGTCCCTGTCATCATCTCTGGCATCTTTTCATCAGTCTCAGGCTGCTGGGCCTGGCATGTTCCCTTCCTGTAACAATGCAGCTTGTTTTCAGGTTTTCTAAAAATAACACCTTTTTACCTCATGTCACAAGGTGTACCTGCACATCCTTGTTTTGTTAAATATGAACAAATTGTTCCCACTGGTGAAAGCCTCCTCGGCCGCTGTCCAGCCTAAATGTGGATGTGTCTTGCAGACAACAAAGCAGCAGAAATGATTGTTCCAGGAGCAATGTTATCACCCACCTAGGTGGTAGTCAGGCGGGGACTTTCCAGGGGACAGTGATGTCTCTGTGATTCCATTTGCAAGAGCTTCAAAGTTTACATTTGCTTTAAATTAATATTGCTTTGAAATTGTATGTTCTGATTTTCAAAGTTGGTTATCAATCCTAATTGCCAGAGCAAGCACAGTGTTAATAGCAATATACCTAGCAGGTTGTAATTTTTCTCTCTGCTTATTTAACAGAGTTGGGTGATTTAGTAAGCTCTAGAAAAGCCAAGGTGATCCTTTACTTCAGGAGGAGACTAGCTTCCCTACCTTGCCAATCTTGAAGGCACTGCCTTTGAAAGTAAGAGATGTAAGAGCTGTAAGACTTACTCAGCTTTTAGAATTTATTTAGCAGTTGTCAGTTCCTACCTGTGCTCTGCATCACCTCCTTTTTTTGGTTAAAATCACTGAAGCATTTTGCTGACCTTGGGACCTGTGAAGGTAAATTGCCTTGGCATACGGCTATTTTAGATGGGCAGGAAGCCCTCCCTCTCCTTTCCATGCAGACCTGTGGAGTATCGGAACAGTTTCCAATAAGAGTAGATTGCTATTGTTGTTTTAATGGCAGAAAGGGAAGTTCGTAGTAGGTACTGGACTTCCCAGATATGATGTGACTTTTGGGTGTGTTGGTCAGAGATCTGGAGGGAAGAGGAAGAGTGGGACCTTCTCACTGCCATGGCCGTGGGAAACCCCAAAGAGTCACTTGTTATTGGCAGGCTTAGACTCTGTCCACTCACATGAATCCTTCCACCATATATTGAAGGAATACCCACTTGCACAGGTAGTCAGAGGTAAGAATGACACACAGCAGCCTGCCTTCAAGGAGCCTGTGGTCCAGTGAGGAATACCCACTGTAATATGAGGCTGATGCCTCTTCTAATTCTCCCTTCTGCCTTCACATACATACAAAATATTTCAGGAAGGAGACTTGCAGGGAAGAGATCACACACCTCTAGACCATAAGTTTAGTTTAAATTTTCAATTATCTAGGGATAAAGAGACTTGGATGAAATGAGATGCCTAAACAGGGTCAGCACTGCTTCAGTCTCTCTTTTCACTTGTTTTCCTCCTTCCCCCTTTCCCTGGTGTTCAGTGACTGGTCCTTACCGGAACACCATGACAAATGCTATGTGAGATACAAGGGCAGGATACAAGGGATATTAAACATTTACTTTCAAGGTCTTCACACTGCAGAAAAGCTTTGGCTGTAAAAAGTTGCCTAGCTTGCCAGCTATTAATGTTTACCAGATAAGTGGTGTGGAAATGTGATACAGTTCACCTTCAGAACTGGCTAGGAAGGAGTCATGTAAGAGGGGACTTGGAATAGCATTTGATTAAGAAGATATTCTGCAGAGAGGGTTGGATCACAGGACTAGATGCCTAGAAGTGGACAAGTACCACTGTGTCTAGGGGCAATGAGTTTAAGAATGCTAATTTTGTGGAAATAGAAGTTTCCCTTGGAGAAACAGGGGGCTAAACTTGGCAAGGTTGTTTGGGGTTGGACCCCATATAGCCTTAAAAGACAAGCAAAGGAATTTGGGCTTTATCTTATGGCTAATGGAAACCATTAACACTAGTTGGAGGAGGGTGGCATGATAAAGACAGTACTTGATGAAGATGATTCTGGCATAGTGCTAAGAAGGATAAATGTCAGGGACTGGGAGAGCCTGGACACAGAGTATCTAAAGGAACTCTTGCAATTGATAAGGGATTTATAAAAGACATACACTAAGGGGTTGTGGTGCTTGGGAACTTGGTGGCAGAAGCCTGTAGGGACTTAATCATTTTCTCCTTTGTCCCTACTGGATGTATAATTCCCTCTCAGCACTGACTGTCAGTCTATTTGGGGTCAGGAGAGTTATATGTTTATTCAGTGAGACAGAATAACTCCAGGGAGAAAATCCCAGGGCAAAATACCTTTGAAACTGAATTTAGTCAAAAGGAGAAATAAAGTTAAGAAACCGGTTTATTTCTCACAAGCAGTTATCCCGTCTCTCTCTTGACCAGGCCACGGCAGAAGAGAGCTCCACCCAACCTCTCCAGTCCAGATAAACCCTCACATGCCCTTTTGATTACCTATTGATATGTAGATGACTAATTTTATCTACCCCTTGGAAACACCTATTGATATGCAGATGCACTAACGCTAGGAGAGAGATTCTGGAAATACTGCAATTTTACCCACCAACAGCTAGTAATTCTCTTATGTACAGGTGTACTTTAAGGGAGGTCACCTCTAGTCATGTGCTAGGGCAGCCATAACAAATACCATAGGCTGGGTGGCTTGAACAACAGAAATGTGTTCTCAGAGTTCTGGGGACTGAAGTCCCAGAGCGTGGTGTCAGCAGGGTTGACTTCATTCTGCAGCCCCTCTTGGCCCCTAGATGGTGTGTGCTCCCCTACCTTCACATGGCCTTCCCTTTCATGCACACACCTTGTGTTCAAATTTTCTCCTCTTGTAAGGACACCAGGCACAGGGGATTAGGGCCCACCCAACAGACATCCTTTAAACTTAATTACCTTTTTAATGCACCTATCTATGAATGTGGTCATATTCTGAGATACTTGGGGTTAGGACTTCAACATATGCATTTTGGGTGGGGGGCCCAATTCAGTCCATAACAGCACCCAAGGTGGAAAGGATGAGAAGCAGCAGGAAGACGGAGGCCACACACCTCCCTTGACCCCTTCCCCTGGCCCGTGCTCTCTATTCTTTGCAGTGAAATGGCCATCCCCAAACTGAAAGTCCCTGAGCCAGCTTTCTGTCATTTTTCTCTAGAAGAATTTAGGCTGATATCATTTGGGGGATTTTCAAACTCCCAATTTTAGTATTAACAGTCTTTCTCCTTTTTTTCCTTTTAACTTCTCTGGCAATGCTAGCTTCTTACTATATTTATTGCAGTCATCTGTTTATGTGCATGATAATTTTTATAATGATGGGAGGGAGTCTCTGAAGATAAATAGAATATATAGAATAAGAAGATGCATCAAGTTATACCTGCATAATCTTCGTTATTGCCCTTATTTCCAGAGTTCTTTATTTCCTTGGCTGCCTGAGGCTGAGGCCTTGGGCCCTCATGGCCTCACTTCTGAACTCTTGTTCCACTCTGGACTGCAGGGAGAGCCTGCTTTCCTCACAGTCACCTGCACCCTGCTGACAGCGTTTACTGAATTCTAGCCTCAAAACACCCATGGTGAGGCA